GGAATAGCCTTGTGTGCCCTCCTCAGCATCTAGCTTCTCTGCTTAAGCTCATGTTTGTGGAAATTCATCCTGTGGTGGTGTGAAGTTATAGTTGTCCACTTAAGTGCTATGTAGCTTGCCATTACCACTGTCTGTCCATCCATTCTGCACACAATGGATATTTGGGCAGTTTCAGCATGTTTTTATTTCTCATTGGTGCTGTAACAAATTAGCACAAATTTAGTGGCTTGAAATAACACACATACATTATCTTACAGTCCTGGAAGTCAGAAGATTAAAACAGGTCTGCAGGGCTGTTTTACTTTCAGAGGCTTTAGACAAGAATCCATTTCCAAGTCCATGTAACTTTCCAGGGGCCACATGTATTCTTTGCTTGTGGTTTCTTTCCTTTTTTTCCCCCCCTCTTTTTGACAGGCAGAGTGGACAGTGAGAGAGACAGAGAGAAAGGTCTTCCTTTACCGTTGGTTCACCCTCCAATGGCTGCCGCGGCCGGCGCACTGCGGCCAGCACATTGCGCTGATCCGATGGCAGGAGCCAGGTGCTTCTCCTGGTCTCCCATGGGGTGCAGGGCCCAAGCACTTGGGCCATCCTCCACTGCACTCCCGGGCCACAGCAGAGAGCTGGCCTAGAAGAGGAGCAACTGGGACAGAATCCGGGGCCCGACCAGGACTAAAACCCGGTGTGCCGGCGCCACAAGGCGAGGATTAGCCTAGTGAGCCGCGGCTCCGGCCTGTTTGCTCGTGGTTTCTTTGTCTGCCTTCAAAGCAAAGAGCACAGCATCTCTTCTCTCTGGACTCTGCTTCTGAGCTGCTTCTTCTAACTTTGGCCCTAAGGAGGGATACTCGTGATTACACTGGGCACACCTGGATGACCCAGAACACTCTCCTCCTCTCAAAGCCTTTCTTGGTCACATCTGCAAAGCCCCTTTTGCTAGGTAAGGCAACAAATCCACAGTTTCAGGCATTAGGCCACAGATATCTCTGTGGGGAATTATTCAGCCCACCACAGAGCATTATGAATCATGTCTTTTAAAAGAGATCTATTTATTTGAAAGGCAAAGTGACAGAAAGAGATGATTTGTCATTTCATTCTTTTAATGGAATCCTTTCATGCATAAAGTCCTGATTTTAAATTAGTCCAATGTGTGCAAAGCAATCTCAAGAAAAATGTAGAAGTATTTTTTTTTTTATTTGACAGGTAGAGTTAGACAGCGAGAGAGACAGCGAGAAAGGTCTTCCTTCCGTTGGTTCACCCCCCAAAATGGCCGCCACGGCTGGCGCTGATCCGAAGACAGGAGCCAGGTGCCTCCTCCTGGTCTCCACGGGTGCAGGCACCCAAGCACTTGGACCATCCTCCACTGTCTTCCTGGGCCACAGCAGAGAGCTGGACTGGAAGAGGAGCAACTGGGACTAGAACCCAGCACCCATATGGGATGCTGGCACTGCAAGCCGAGGATTAACCAAGTAAGCCACAGCACCGGTCCCAAGAAAAATGTAGAAGTATTTTAAAACTGAGTGGAAATGAAAACAACATATCAAAATTTATAGCAAGGCCAATGCAGTGCATAAAGGAAAATTTATAGCTTTGAATACTTATATTAGAAAAGAAGGGGTAGACATTTGGCATAGTGGTTAAGATGTTGCTCTGACACCTGCATCTCCTGTTGGAGTGCCTGGGTTGGAGTCCCAACTATGCTCCTGGTTCCAGATTCTTACTAATGCATATACTGGGAGGCAGCAGGCAATGGTGAAGTAGTAGGGTCCCTGCCACTCACGTGGGATGTTCAGGTTCAGTTGCAGGCTCCTGGTTTCTGTCTGGCCCAGCCCCAGCTGTTACAAGCATTTGAGGAGTGAACCAGCAGATGGGAGACCTCTGTCTCTGTCTCTCTCTTTGCCTTTCAAATAAATAAAAATTTTAAAAAGAAAAAAGATCTGAAATTATTAACCCAGGTTTCCATCTTGAAGCTAAAATAAGAGGAATGAAATTAAAAGTATAAAAAAGCATAAAAATGGGGGCCCACATTGTGGGGTAGCCAATAAATCTGCTGCCTGCAGTGCCACATCCCATACAGGCACCGGCTGGAGTCCTGGCTGTTCCACTTCTGATCCAGCTCTCTGCTGTGGCTGGGAAAGCAGTGGAGACGGCCCAAGTCCTTGGGCCCCTGCATCTGCATGGGAGACCCAGAAGAAGCTCCTGGCTTTCGGCTTCACATTGGTGCAGCTCCAGCCATTGTGGCCAAATGGGGAGTGAACCAGCAAATGAAAGACCCCTCTCTCTCTCTCTCCCCTTCTCTTCTCTCCTCTCCTTCTCTCCTTCTCTCTCTGTGTAACTCTGACTTTCAAATAAATAAATAATCTTTTTTAAAAAATGCCTTTTCCCCCATTGTGGGGAGCAACTGGGAGCAACTTGGACTAGACTAAGTTACTGGAATTAAGACTTATTCTATGCATCTGCTCTCCCACAATATGGCGCTGAGAAGGGAGCAAACAGCTTCTACCCAGCTGCCTCTCACCAACTTGACAAGCTGCAGGAGCTGCTCCTGATTGGAGGAGAGCAGCGTACTCGGCGTGTGGGTAGCAGAGTTGGGATTGGCGGAAGAAGACTATAAAGGAGGAGAGAGACAACATGCACCAGGAACATCTATCTGAAGGAACACCTGTGCAGCCCCCGAGAGAGCCGGCCGGCGGTGTGCCGCTCCCCCGCGGAAGTGGGGAAAGTGGCAGGGGGAACCGCCCTTCCACGGAGGTGGAAGGGATGGTAGCCAACCCGGGAAGAACCAGCAGCAAACCCGGGAAGGGCCGAGCAGACAAAAGAACAGCGCAGGGTCCTGTGTCGTTCCTCCACGAAGAGGGGGAACAACATAATGGTGCCATGACTCGGATAGGAAGCCTAGGCAGGGTTTAGTGTCGTTCCTCCACGAAGAGGGGGAGCGACACCCCATTCTTTGGAAGAGCTTTTTAACATATTGGTAGAATTTACTGTGAAGTAATCTAAAGCATCTGTGTTTAGTCACAGTATTTTTTTAATTTATGGACTTAAATTCTTCATTAGGTACAGCTTTGTTTGAGCTATTTAAGAAAAAAGTTTATTTTTTTGTTTGAAAGGCAGAGAAAGAGAGGAAGCGGGGAGAGCGAGACCGAGAGCGAGAGAGCAGGCATGCTCTTCCACTTACTGGTTCACTCCTCAAATGGCCCGCAACAGCTAGGTCTGGGCCGCGCCAAAGCCAGGAGCCAGGAGCTCCATTCTGGTTTCTCCCATGAGTGGCAGAGTCTGCTGCCTTCCCAGACACATTAGCAGGAAGCTGAATCAGAAGCAGAATAGCCAGTCACTGTAATATGGGATGTTGGCTTAACTCATTACACTGCAATGCCGGCCCCTGGGTTATTTCATTCTTTTGCCAATCAAGAAATTTATGGGCATGAAAATTTCTACTATACCCTCATGTTTGCAGTGTAGGTTCAATAGTGATCTTATTTTTAGTTTCTTATATTATTTGTGTCCTCTCTGTTAATTTGTCTTTTGGGCAGTGTTGATTTTATCAGCTGTATCTTTATTTTCTATCTTTGCTAATTGCTGTTTTTTCATTATTCTGCTATTTTTAGAGTTAGATTTGATGTTCTGATTGTTTTGTAATTCCTTAGATAGATTCTTAGACCACTGGTTTTTCTCAGCCTTTCCTTCCTTTCCTAATATGAGCATTTTGAAGTTATAAATTTCCTTCTAAGCCTGGCTTCTGCAGCACCCCACATGGAGATGTAGAGATTTAATTAGGGCTTAATTCAAAAACATTTTCCAATTTCCATTGTGATTTCTTCTTTGACCTATGGGCATCATAAGTGTGTTGCTTAATTTCCAAACATATGGGGATTTTTCTCCTGAACTTTTCGTTGTTTATTTTTAGCTTGATTTCACTGTGCTCAGAGAAAATAATCTTGGTATTGCAAATTCTCAGTGCTTTGGTAGCACTCCAGTGTGTTAAAAAAAAGATGTTTTTATATTTAGTCCAACTTTCTAGTTGTTTTCAGAAACAAGTTTGATACAAAGTAACCTATTCAGCTATTGCCCAAATGCATAACCACCACCAGTTGGTAATTTAGTTTTGATGCCACTGCAACCTATGGATCACCAGTACCCCATTTTCCAGTGGTGGTGGTGGTGGGGAAGCCATCATTGCATTCATGGCCAGAGAGTTAAGCAACTTCATGTCAGAATTCCATCTTATTGTCTCCAATGCCCATGTTAATTCTATTACTAATGTGCCATTAATTACATGTATTACTGCTTTTTAAAAAAATATATATATGTATATTTATGTGAGAAGCTGAGAGAGCAAGCGAGCAAGCAAGCACACTTCTGTCTGCTGTTTCATTCCCTCAAATGCCCACAACAGCAGGGGCTGGCCTGGGTGGCAGTGAAGTGGGGGAAGTGGGGTTTAATTATCCCAGACCCTTGTCGTCTACCTGGAGAAGCATTCTTAGTACAGGCACATGTACAGTGCACAAAGTGATAACGGTTACTTGAAAGCTTAGGAAACACACACAGACATATGGGCATAGCTGAGGGGTGGAGTGGGCTAGAAGGAAAACAGGTGGGGGAGGGGAAGTAGAGAAAGGGCACCTTCAGCTCCTCCTCTTGCCCAGGTCTCAGAGGAGAGAAGGGCCCCTCCCAACTGCCAGCCTCTTTTATGAGGTTGGAAGGGGAGTGGTGCAGATTGGTGCATTTCCTGCCCAGTTAAAGGAGACTTACTGGGCTTGGGGGCAGTTCTGATGAATAAGTAGGAGGAGATTATTACACATGGGGCGGGGGCTTGTGGCCTACAGACACCTCCATCTCTATAATCCTAACCTAGTTACCTGTTCATCCCATATCAGCAGGAACCCATGATGAGCCATGACCTGCTTGCCTCCCAGGGTCAGCACCGGTAGGAAGCTGGAATCAGGAGCCAGAGCCACGAATTGAGCCCAGACACTTCCATGTGGGCCTGGGTATCTTAATTGTTAGGCTCAATGTCTGCCCCACAGGCCCTCCCTGCCACACTCACATTTTCTGTGTAAATATATTTCTCCTGGATTGTAACTCGGTCCCCATCATACTCTGCTGTGTTCCTCTGCTCACGTTATTCTCAGCCTCTCCTCCGTTCTCTCTGAAATATCCACCCTTTGAGTATTTTTGTCCAATGTGTAAGAAAAGAAATACGTACGTATTAAAGAAAAAAGAGATCATCTGTGTGTCATGAAAATTGTCGCTAACAGCAACAGTGGCACATGTCGCATTTTTGGAAACTCTGAGCTGGTGTGAGAAGCGGGGGCTCTGCTCAGCGTGGGGAGGGTGGAGTGGGTGATGTTAAAAGGACTCACTTGTCTGGGTAGGGAATATGTCACACGACCTTTTGAGATTCCCATTCCGGTTTCAAAATCTCAAAGCATATAATCCTAGAAAAATGTTTTATTTTGTATACTTTTAAAAATAAACATATGCTTTTCAGCCCTCCCCCTGGGCTGGCAGCTGTGGGTCTCTTGCTGGGCACATGAAGATCCAGTGGTCACCCGGCAAGTATTTGAGGGGATCCCAGGGAGGGGACAGTGTATGGCAATCAGTGGGTTCCCCACAGCAAAACAAAAGCAAACAGAAGAGCTTTCGGTGTGAGTAGAGTTGGTAAAAACGCTTTAGTGACAGATGTATTGCTTCTTTCTGAGCCGTATTTTAAGAGTAACGCCAACCATTGTGGGCAGACCGAAATGTATTCTGCTTGTCAAGCTCTTTAAGAAGAGTCACTCCCACCAAGTCCCCGTATCACCCAGTCCGAGATGCAACCCCTCGGCCGCAGCCAGCGGTGCTCCCGGCAGCCCCCCTCAGTAGGCGTGGCCTGAGGGCCCCTGCCTCTGTGAAACACCACCGAGCTCCTGCATGCCCCAGCCATCAACCTCAGCCTCTTCTCCCCAGAACCGCCCTTGTCCCCTCAGCCTGTCCTCACTGGCCCTGCGTGTGAGTCCAGCCTGAACCCTCCTCTCCGACCCCAGAGAAGGCAGCGCTCAGTGCCACCGTGGGACAGAGCAAGAGGCCGTTCTGCACCAGCCTGGTGTGCACGGCTGAGAACCACGTATCCGCAGTGTCCTATTACAATGAATGAAATGCGGCTCCTGCCGAGGGGATGCCAGCCGAAGTGTGGCCAACACCGTGATGTCACACCCAGGGGAGGAAAACCAATCTCCCTGCTTTGAAACCTGCTCCCCAGCCAGATGGAGTCGCAGAGTGTGAGCGCCTTGCCAGCAAAACCGGCTGTAAACAAACAGTCAGTGTGAATGCAGCCTTTTGTTCAACGAGGCTCCAAGTACTGGGAAAGCTGAGAAGTGTCCTAGATGTCTTTGAGGCCTGCACATCAAGAGTAGGGAGTAAACAGTCGGACAGAGTTTCCTCAGCCTCTAAGGCTCCTGGGTAGGCAGAGAAGAGGCACTTTACCCAAGTCCAGCTCCTGCTAGGATCTTTGCGAGGTCCTAAAGCACAGCACTCCCTATCCCTGAGCCCATTGAGCAAGAAAGACCACAGATGGAGGCTATGCTACCATCGGTAGCACAGTGGAGCAAATAAACTTCCCAGTACCCAGCTCCCATCACCTCAGCCCTGCCCTGCCCACCCCCCAGCCTGTGCCGCCTGAGGGTTGTTAGCTCCCGGAGGAAAACAGAGCCTGAGCCATCACACCACTTGGGTCTCTGTACATTTCCTATCAGCCAATTCTTTCCATACCCGAGCAATGACTGACAGGCCAGGATGTTACCAATATAGAGCTCCTTCCTCCTGAAAGAACCATTGGATGTGCAGAGTAAGTGTATCCCCAGATTCAGTCATGATGACTCACCTCCCTCAGGGACCACAGCCTCTAGTTCTTCACCGTTCCACACCCAAGTGCCCTTAGCAAAAATCATCTTTCTAAAAAATAAGGCATGTTTATATGTGTGAACCTGTGGATAAGCGGGCATATATATGAAGATGCAGTATATACATCTGAGGTTCCTCCAAAAGCTTGTGGAAATGTACTCAATTCCATTTTTCCACAAGCTTTTTCAAGTACCCTTGTATGTGTGTGTGTGTGTGTGTGTATACATGTGTGTGAACATGTATGCAGGTTTGCCTATGATTCAAGTGTGTTTGCCTGCGCATACGTGTGCATTATGAGTCTGGATGTGGCCTCTGTGTGAGCATGCAATCATGCGTGAACATCTGTGCAAGTGTGTGCCTGAACATCTGTTCTTAGGTGTGTCTGTAACACAAATACATACACCAAGCTTTAGAACCAGGCTGTCAGGTACAGATTTGGACAGATTCATTTCAACAAACATTCCTTGAGCATCTGTGGTGACCCATGACTGTGGTAACCATAAAGAGAACACACAGAGCTTGTCATCAAGCAGGAAAGAGGTGCATATGCAACCATGAGCAGCACAAGGTCAAAGTTGCTAAATGCCGTAGTAGCCCAAAGCCAAGGAGAACTGTACTAATCGGCCAGGCGGAGCAATCTGTGAGGCCTGAGAAGAGAGGAGAGGTGATAGGAGGACCGTCCAGCCAGGATTAAGATGAGGTCAGGCCAGAGGTCAAAAGGTAGGGCATGTTTAAGCAGTGGCCATTTGTTCTGTCAGACTCAGAGATGAGTCTGCGATCACAACATCGGGTCGGATCAGGATAACACCTGCCTTTCTTCACCAGATTTCAGAAGGAACATAGGAATGAGTGATGGGCAATGGCTAATTTGTGGAAACTCTGGGTCCCATACTAAGAAATGGAACCTCCCTTCTCCAGCTATTTCCTTATAGTAGAGAAGGGATGGCAAACATGGGGGTGAACACTTCGGGGGTGAACATTTCAGGGCTAAGACATTATGCATTGGTCTAGATGCGAGGCAACAAGTGTGAACAAGGTGGCAGAAGAGAGGGGCGAGAAGGTGACATACATTACAGATACACCTGACAGTTTCCATCAGGGTGAGGAGCGGATTTTCCAGGCTGTATAATAATGCCACCAACAGAGATAAGGAAGAAAGGATGATGGGGTAAGGAAGATGAACTTAACCTTGAACTACTGCATCTGCCTTGACAATCTGTCAGAGCTGTGGTTTGTAACCCCAGTGCCCACAGAGATGTGAATGTTTAAGGACCGTGTCCTCCTCTTGCTGGCAAGGCGTCCAAGGGGGAGTGTTCTCTTCACTGTGCCTCCTCTTCCAGAGAAAATGGCTCGTTCTGGAGGAAGCCAATTATTCTTCCATCTAGAAGAATAATTTTTTAACTTATTTTTACTTATTTCGTTCTTAAATGCAGAGACAGACAGAAATCTGCCATCCACTGATTCACTCACCAAATAACCTCAACAACCAGGGCTGCACCAGGCCAAAGCCAGGAACTGAGGGCTCCATTCGGTGGCAGGGACTTAAGTCCTCGAGCCATCACCTGCTGCCTAGCACTCTGCAAAGGGATGTGGCTGTCCCAGAAGTGTAATAACTACTGAACCAGACACCTGCCCCATGGAATCTTTTACCTCTAGGGACTGTATAGCTCTAACTCAAGAAAAGTGGCAGTTGGAATCTTCTGGGGGAACCCTGAAGAGAGCAGCATTCCTAGGACAAAGGAGAGGTTGCGTTTGCTCTTATTGCCTCTGTTCAGACCGTAGCAAGCCCCATTCTGGACCTGCCAGTAATGAGGTCCAGTGGTGGATGAGCAGACAGAGCGAGGAAGGGACTCGGCACCACATTTGTCTTGTCATGGCCCAATCTATGGGTCCAAAGGTCACATTTGGGAGAGGACAGGCTGAAGGGTAGCTTCCAGGCAACAGAGAGGCTCTGCTGGGGCAACTACTGCCTTAACGTAAGTGGAGTCCCCAGTGTGCCACACCAGCCTGGAAGGCCTTGGGTTACAGAATCCAGCAGAGGCAGGAGCTAAATACAGGCTGGAGTTGGAAAGGCTAACACAATAGCAGCTGAAGCGGATTCCAAGATTGAAGAATGGCTTAGCCAGAGTGTGCCAGGACCCAGGCAGCTAAAAGCCAAGGGTGGGTAGATTCCTAAGAAGAGAACCTGTGAACTAGAAGAGATTAAAAATCCAACATCAAAGGATGTAAGACACGCAGACTAGGGTTCCTAATGGGTGTGGTGCAATCTCAGAAGGAGCTGCCGATACTCGGCTTCCTTATTCTGGAGAAGAGAGGGTAGTTGTTAACTAAGTCATAGGTTCTGGAAGGTGGAGATATTTATTTTGATCAGTAATCAGTCAGCACTATTGGTTGATTGATTGCTTACTTAAGACTTTAAAGACGGGAGGGCAGTCTCTTACTTGCCACCTACACCTTGGGAATGACTTCGGTTTTCTGGTTTCTCTGCCTGTTTTTGCCCCCGGCAGCGGGGACTGTCTCAGCGAACTGAAGCCCTTGCTATGTCAGCATCATCGCTAAGATGGGCAAGGAGCATCTCTCTGGCGGGCTGAGCTCACTCATCCAGATTCATTTCTTAGATGTTCAGCATAATTTCTGGTAAAGTCACCTTTTGGTCTGAGCAAAAAAAGCAGATCCCTCACTTATCTGTGAGCCTTTTATTATGTTGCAAACCAATTCCATTCATTCCAATTTTCATGGCAACCCGAGAAATCGCGGGAGAGGAAACGTGGACGCACATTAAGTCTGCCCTCTGCCCCTCACTAACACGAGAGTGCCTCAGCATGCAGGCAATTTCTGATTCAGTTTCTTGGGGATCACAGACGGCTTCTGATTACTCACCCAGCTTCTCACTGGTGTTAAGGAGGTGGGCAGTTTCCACTTCCATTTACAGAAGCTTCAAGAAGGATCTTCTGAAGTTGGAGAGGTCTTTTGGGATCATCTAAACCTCACCCGTGGCAGAGTAACTGAGGCCCAGAGAAGAGTGGCCTGCTTGAAGTCCATCAATCAAGTGAAACGTTGGTGCTGTCAACAGAGCAACCCAAGTTCCGCTACGTTACACCTGCTCATTGACAGAAATGCTTGCAGGGGATTGAGATACTGAAAATGAATGCAAAGCAGGGAGCAAATAAAGTTACAATAAAAGCAATCAAAAATGCAAAAAGAAGGGGGAAGTCTTAGACAAAAAATAATGTGGGGGTTGGCGCTGTGGTATAGTGGGATAAGCCTCCACCTGTAGTGCCAACATCCCATACGGGTGCTGGTTCTAGTCCTGGCTGCTCCTCTTCTGATCCAGCTCTCCACTATGGCCTGGGAAAGCAGAAGAGGATGGCCTAAGTGCTTGAGGCCTTGCGCCTGCATGGGAGACCCGAAAGAAGCTCCTGGCTCCTGGCTTCGGATCGGCTCAGCTCTGGACATTGTGGCCATTTGGGGAGTGAACCAGCAGAGGGAAGATTTTTCCTCTGTCTCTCTGTAACTCTACCTCTCAAGTAAATAAATAAAATCTTAAGAAAAAAAAATAGTGCTTCTGTGAACACTGTAGTTTTAAAAATAATAAAGCATGTGGCATTTTCTCCTTAAACCAGGTTCTGCTGAACACAGCCAGGCATCTATGAGACAAAGCACTTTCAAAGTGTCTAAACGTGTTTCCTGAAAGGCTTGTGCCATTCTTTTTTTCTGTTGAAAAATGACAAGCAGTTATAATGTTTTTCAGAACAACCTCTAGCACCCAGTATCATGAACACTCAGGTATATCAGTTTAGCCCTGCATCTCGCTCCGTTTGTATCTTCCAGAACAAAGGGAAATGAGAGGCATTGTGCTGACAATGGAAGTGGACGCTTTTTTCTTCCCTCTGGGTTTTCGTTGCTAGGGTATAATACCGCGTGTGTCACAAAACTCTCTCCCATCTGGCTGCTTTTTGAAACTTCTCTGGTACCCAGTTTTTACAGTTGAGCAATTAATTCTCTCTAACACTTGGGAGCTGTTGAAATAAAGGAGATTTCAGAGAGAATAGGTCATGACCTTTTATGCCTTTGTGTGTTTTGCTGAGAACTGACCTGCTGCATTACTGGGAGAGAAAAATCTATTAAAATCTCCTGGGTGAATACTTCAACAGGCTGATTTCATTTTGAAGCTAATCATTTGGCGCACTTTAGAAGGCATGATAAATGATTTCATCTCAAATACGAATATTGCTATAACCCTGGTAGCATGCCGCTGACCCAGAGTCAAAGTTCTATTTACAACTGCTCAACAGTTCCATTAGGCTTCATCTACAACGCTTGAAGTATGGTGAAATGCAAGGGGGAGAAAGCAATGTTGTTGGAAAGTTGAACAAATATCACCGAAACTGGGGCCCTGCTGCTCCGCTTCTGATCCAGGTCCCTGCAAATGGCCTGGGAAGAGCAGTGGAAAATGGCCCAAGTACTTGAGACCCAATCACCCATGCAAGGGACCCAGAAAAAGCTCCTGGCTCCTGGTTTTGGCCTGGTCCAGTCTTGGCTGTTGCAGCTATCTGGGGAGTGAACTAGCTCCCTCTCTCTGACTTTAAAATTGATTAATCTTTAAAAAATATATCACTGAAACTATAAAGTATCTATGCTTAACCTGGTCCCCCCCCCAAAATCACGTGGTATTATAGAAAAGAAAAACTCTAATAAATGACAAAAGACCAAGTAATCAGAGATATCTATACCATGTTTATTAATGGCCAAATTCAGCATAGAATACACTAAATTCTGAATCAGTATAATTGTAATCAAAATCTCAAGTGATTTTTGACATTAGAAAATTAAATTATAAAATTAGAAAAAAGATCCCACAAATCACCAAGCAATTCTGAGAAAGCAAGCAGGGAAGGACTAGCTGTGTCAGTCTGCAACCCCTGTCACAAAGCACAGACAGAAGGAGACCCAGACCGATGGACAGAGTAGGGTGTGAAGGAACAGAACCACGCATCTGGGGCAGGCACTGTGCCACAGCAGGGTAAGCTGCAGTTTGGGATGACTGCATCCCATATTGCAGGACCTGGGATTGCGTTCTGCCTCTACTTCCGATTTAGCTTCCTGCTAATGCACCTGGCAGGCAAAGGATGATGGCCCAAGTACTTGGGTTCCTGTCTACTCATGTGGGAGATTCAGATGGAGTTCCCGGTTCCTGGCTTGAGCATGGCCCAACCCCAGGTGTTGTAGGCTTTTGGAGGAGTGAACCAGCAGATAGAAGTTGTCTATATGTCTTTTTGCCTTTCAGATCAGTGAGTAATATTTTTTTAAAGAAGCACATATCTATAGGAAATTGGTATATGGTAGAGTTGACATAATGGATCAAAGGGAAAAGATTATTTAAAGAACAAACCTTGGAAGCTGTGGCCCACTGTATGGAAAAAGTGGATTTAAATATTTTAATTTATTTTCATAGTGATATAACAAAATATAATTATATTAGATGATACAGTCACATATTATTAAAAAAAAAACCTACAAAACTACTACAAGGAAATACAGGAAAAATATCTTTATGCATTTGGAGTGTCACTGTAGACCAGAGAGCTACCTGGAGGCCCAGGGACTATGTGGAGGAACAGGTCCAGCCATCCCAGCCGAGGTCCCTGCAGGGAGTGAGGTCACCTGAGATTGTCCAGCCCCTACCCAAAAGAAGCACCCTGCCAATCCATGGCAACAAATCATGGCTGGTCTAAGCCACACGTTTAGGAGTGGTTTGTTGTACAGCAAACCCTATGTGATTCACATAGGGCACAAAAAGTACAAGTCTCAAAGGAGAGATGGATAGAATGTATCAAAGGGAAAGCTTTCTCTTGAAAACAAACAGGATGAGATGAGATGTGCAGCAGCATGTCAGCCATGTAAAGCAGAGTCCACTTCATGTTTGTGATGGAATGGAGGGGAGTTCTACACAGGGCCTCCTCCCGCACAGCACTCGTGAGCATCTAGCGTACATCCAAAAGTGAAAACAAACAACATACTATATTCTTACCTGAAAAAGCCATTCACGCAAGAATCAAGGTGGTATTTATTTTTTGAGTAATTTTCCTGGCTCCAGTCTGATTACTTGGTTACAGCTGGTGAAGGTTTTCATAGCCACTGGGTCTGTGAACATGGACCACAGGCCTGATGAGGTGACAGGTGTGGAGGTGGTCATCCAGGGAGAGCACAGTGTCAGGCTGTGGGGCTGTGCGAAGCACTGGGCCGACAGCATCCAGGGAGCCCTGTAGAGGGCGGATTGGAAGCAGTCAGCCAGAGGGCACATAGGGACCAGCCTCAGAACTTGGGGTTGGAAGCCTGGGCCAGCGATGAATACAGCAACTTCTTCAGAAGTAGCGTGGCGGGAGAGATGCTCGGATTTCGTGCAGATGTGCTCAATTTCCAATAAATATTGGAAACTGTTTACACGAAGGAGGAACTTCCCAAAACAGTAAGAACCCACCATCAGCCCCAAAGCCTAACAATTTCAACCACAACCGATGACTCAGCTTTATTTCCCAGAATGTGAGGCAATCCCATCAAGGAAAAGCTGATTTTTAAAATGAGAAATAACTCATTTTTCCCCCCAGTTTGACTTTAAACACTCAATCAGACCCAAGTGCCATAACGTAAGACTCTGCTCCGGGTAATGTCAGAGGCTGGGTTCGATGTTATAAAGTCCCGGGGAACTCTCAGGGCAGTGAGCGGAGCCAGTCGGGCCGCTCCGCTTGTTGGAGCAGCAGGATCATAGGGAACCTTTTCCCCTGTTTTAAAATTCTAGTATTACTGTCAGGACGTTGAGAACAAATACGCTTTTCTATATTAAAGCCCTGTTGAGGGAAAACAAGCCAACACGCTAATCCTTCCTCTCCACCCTGCGGGGACTTCCCTGGGCTGTTCCCATTCATCCTCAGGTTTCTCTGCATGCCAGCGAGGGCCAGAAAAATCACCAGGCCCATAATACATGGGTAGATAGAAACAGAATCGCGGGACTGGACGGAGTCCTGGAACTGTGTTTTGTGTGTCTCTCCAGTTCTTGGGCCACACCTAAACCCCCAGAACTGAAGACCTCCCAGGACAATGCCTAATCTGTCTCCACAACTCATTCTGGTGTCTAAGAATACTCACTGTCAGGAAACTCGGCTTTGTGAGTAAACTCGGGCTCCTCTCACACCCATTTCCTCTGGCTCTGATCTCAGGCGGAGGTGGACCACAGCCGGGCGCACATTCCAGCACACCCGGCCAACACACGTGAAGATTGTTACCAAAATAGCCTCCTCCCAGCCCTGCCCCCAGCCCTGGCTGCTCTGGGTTAAAGCAGACCAGCTCTTTCATCTCGCCTCACGGGTTTCATTCTCTGAACTTAGACCTAGTGGTGCCGAATCTGTGACCCACAGTCCAATGAAAGGGTGATCACGGCTGGCTCCTAGGGCAACCAACAAAGCAGGTTTTCCAGAGGCTTCCCAGGAAGTGGGAGTTTCAGTGCTAGAACCAGAAAAGTCCCTAGCAAATAGGAAGGAATTGGCCTCACCGGCTCTCTCTGGGGAAGGAAGGCTCCCACTGGAGGAAGAATGCTCCGTGCTGGGAGGAAACGTATCCGTGACGTCACAAACATGAAGACAGGCAGGTCAGTTCTTCTGTTCTCAGCACAGACCTCCATCGGGAGGAGACACAGTGGGCCCCCGGCCCACCTCCTGTAGCACCTGTGTGTCCTCCGTTGTCCGCACCTGGTGAGCAGGCACACCTGGAGACACAGACCTGTGGCTAAATAAAAGAATCAGAGCAGAACAAAGAGCGGATATGCAGTGTGGGAGGAGGAGGAGGAGAAACGGGACACAGAGAGGGGAGAATGCTACAAGGAAGAGAGAAAATAGCCCATTGAGCTGGAGCAAAAGCAAGGGAGAGAACAGGTTGGAAACGTACTCAAAAAGAGAAAGCCATTGGCTAGGAAACAAGTGAGAAGAAACAGGAGAAGCATGGAGAGGCTCATGGAGGGAAGAGAAGAACATGGTCCTGCCAGATTCATGCCCTTGGCACCTCAGGCAGAGCCACTGGTGACTGCCCTGCTCGCTCCTCCTTGTCCTCTCTTATACCCTTTGTTGTTTTTTTTTTTTTTTTAAAGATTTATTTATTTACTTGAGGCAGAGTTACAGACAGAGGGAGAGACAGAGAGAAAAGGCTTCCATCCACTGGTTCACTCCCCAAAAGGCTGCACCTGTCAGAGCTGGGCCAATCTGAAGCCAAGAGCTTCCTCCAGGTCTCCGACGTGGGTGCAGGGGCAGGAGCACTTGGGCCGTCTTTCACTGCTTTCCCAGGCCATCAGCAGGGAGCTGGATTGGAAGAGGAGCAGCTGGGACTTGAACTGGCGCCCCTATGGGATACCAGTGCTGCAGGCAGAGGCTCAACCTACTACACCACAGCGCCGCCCATCTCATACCCTTTAGAAGAGTGGTTCCCGTACTCCTGGATTTCCTGGACCGGAAGACTGAAAAACAAATCAAGGGCTAACTTAACGCTGTAACAGCACATAAAACTGAAAGCACCTTCTTCTCTCATCGGTATTTCCAAAAGCAAAGGGCATTGCTTCTCAAGAAAGAAAATGGTCGTCAGCCACTGAGCGCCCCCACCCTCGCACCCACAACATTCTCCTTACCCCACGCATTATACCGAGGAGTGCTGCACACCTTGTCCCAGACAGGTGCCTTGTTTCATCCTGGCACTTGGGAAACACGGTTTTAGTGAACCTAGTTCAGCCTTGCCTCTGTAGAAAAATGGTGAAAGGCTGATATGTATCAAGCCCTGACCATGTGCCAACCCATATACTCAATTAGTATCCCACGCAACACTCGATAACACCTTCTAGTTACTGTCCTGCTTCAAGTGACGGGCGGGGAAATGTTAGCAACTTGCCAGTGGCCAAGCAGTGGAGGAAGGTTTTAACTTGAGTCACTTGGCTGCAGGGCAACATCGTGAAACCCTAGCTCCTTGCCGGAGGGCTTTTCTGGGCAGCTGGGGAAGGTCTTCATGAGCCCTCCTGTTGTGCCTGTGCCTCCGACTCAGAAAACACAAGGCTCCCCCTACAAAGTCGTCTCCAGTGCAGAAACGAGAGATTTAAACCCAGCACAGCTCGCTCTCCTGGCCGGTCCCCAGCTGGGTCACCCGGCCCTCGCCTCTGCCCTGGCTCGCCGGCCGCTCCTTCCCATCCAGGGTGGAGGCCCCTCTCCAGGGCTGCTCTTCCTATCTCTATTTGTTCAGAGGCTTCCTTCCTGGCCCCCTTTTCACTCGGAGATCTTCCCTCTTCAGCAGCTTTTGCCTTGATGTCTGACTTCTCCCTGCCTGCGAATCAGAACCATAGAAGGACTGCCAGGTAGAAGCTTTATTATTCTTTAGTAGGGATTTGGTCCCTGTAGGACTAAGACTCCAACAAAAGCTGATGCCTTCAAGTGTCCCAGAGGATTCAGTGGCAGGTAAACAAGAAACTGGGCTTCCCTCCTGGTCAAACCAAGTCCTATTAATGTATTTATATTTATCTACTTGCCACTGGCTGGGTCTGTTTTCCTAGCTGTGTAGTAATGAGGGAGTCATCCATTCTGGCTCCTTTATAAGCTGGAGGGACAGAATCTACATTGGTTTAATAAACTGTTGTGTAGACATGAGCATCAGAATCATGACTGGAAGGGGATTTAAAATGATTCCCCATCATCACTGCAGACAGATGCAAAGTCATCCTGTTTCCAAGAATCTCCCCCCACCCCCGCAAAAAAAAATCTCCAGAGAATAGTCTATCACCATCAACTGCTTCGGCTCACTCCAATGTTGAATAACACTGACTGCCAAACATTTTTCTTCTTTTAATGGAACCCTTTCACCATGGTCTCTGTGGGTGCCCTGGTGCAGCTGAAGACACCATTACCCACGAGACTTTTTAACACCAGCCTCTCATCTGAAGGCAAAAGCAAGTCACTTCTCATTTCCCAATCCTTGGAAACTCACTGTTCCAGCATCTTTAGTACAGTCCTAAATTTGGGGAAGGACCTCAAACTCCGCTGGCTTAGTAATTCTCGGGTCTGTCCCTCTGAAAAATCACCCGAGGACCCGTGCCGCAAGCAAGTCCCACCCAGTACGCCGCAGCAGAGCCTGTGCGGGGCCTCCAGAAGGCTTGCAGCAATCCCAGGGGATTCCGATGCTGACAGTGTGCAGATAGGCACCGGGGAACCTGGGAACACTTGACCCAGTCTAGTTCATTCTCAGATTTCCTTGTGACGCGCACCTGGAGCGCCTCTAACAGCACCTCTGATTGCTCCCAGGAAGATACTTCATGGCTGGAGGCCTCTGAGTATGAGGCAGTCACTCCTTTTACTAAGCCAAAACTGGCCTCTGATGCTTCTATCAACTGCGCTAAGTGTGGCCTCTGGTGCCAGGGTATCCCTTGTTCTCTTCATAACTTGTCCAATCTCAGTAATACACAAACCACATTTCCAAAGCAACGTAGAGACAGTAAATGGTTCCTCTCCCCAGTCATTCATCATGTGTGTGGTGAAACTACTCATCCGATTGTCCAAAAACTCGGCTGTAACCATCAGCACGTCGTGAAACAAGAATGGTCAAATGCGGGCTCAATGGTTCTCACACTGTAGTGTGTGAACCACCCAGAGGCCCTGTTAAAACTCAGATTGCGGCTCCGGGCCTCCTGCACAGGATCTGATTCAGGAGGGCGGTGGGGCCTGGGAATTTGGTTTCCTAGTTAGCACACAGGTGATGTTTCCGCTGGGGGTCCACACTTTGAGAACCACTGGGCCAATTAGTGCATGCTCAAGGTGGCGCTTACTAACCGGTGGAATGAGAACCTGCTGCCTCGGAACCAGCTGGGCCGGCTTTACAGAGTGTGCGTTTTTACAGGGCTTAGGAATCTGGAATAGCAGTGAGCATTGGCCAGTGGGTCTCAAAGTGTAGTGCCCAAGCCAGCAGCATCGGCATCATCTGCAAACGTGTTAGGCCCACAAGCACAGCCCATGTTTTAACTCGCTCTCCAGCAGAGTCTGACACACGCCCGCCCCTGTTCCGGATCCAGCAGCACAGGCAAAGCTCATACAGATGCCAGTCTCTCTGCCTCCTAGCTCTGGGTTTTGTTGTTGTTGTTGTTGTTTTGCTGTTTTTTTTTTTTTTCGTAAGAGAACATGTTTGTTTCTTCTTTGCACTGCCTGAGCTTCAAGGAGTTGACAGCCAAGTGGAAAAGCTGGTCCAGCAAAAGCTGCTGAATTTGAAGGGGAGTTACCGGCTCTGGGATGTGGTGAGAGATGGCTTCATCGTGGGAATGCACATGACACAGAAGTTACCACTCTGACCAGTGCTTGGTGCAATTCAGTGTCATTAAATACATTCGCGCCATTGTGCAGCCATCACCGGCATTTGTTGTTAACTCCCCAAACTGGAGCCTAGTGCCCACTGTTGGGTGACTGCTCTGCAGGACTCTCCCTCCTGCGAATCAGAAATTCAGCTCCCAACAGCCAGCTGCCCACACCTGGCAACCCCCATGCTACTTCCTGCCTCGTTGAAATTGACTTCTTTAAATACCTCGTGTAAGTGAACTCATTTTCTCCTTTTGTGACTGCTTATTTCACGTAACTATTGCCTTTTTTCTTAAGTAGGACATTTTATTTTAAAGAATCCACCTCAGGATAGAAACATGGACTAAATACATCTGAACAGAATAACTTTTCCTGGATCCACTTTAAGGTTGTGAAAGATTGAAACACCTTGAAAATCTAAACATCATTGTAATGCCTATAAAGAAACTGTCTTACTGGTTTGTCTTGGGTGGAAATCATAACTTTTAAGATATTCTGATTTATGCCCAAGCATGTGCAAAAAAGTAGACTAAGCATGGGCCAGCGCAGGGATAATTTCCACAGGAACAAAAGTGTTCAAATGCGCCGGCGCCGCGGCTCACTAGGCTAATCCTCCGCCTAGCGGCACCGGCACACCGGGTTCTAGTCCCGGTCGGGGCGCCGGATTCTGTCCCGGTTGCCCCTCTTCCAGGCCAGCCCTCTGCTGTGGCCAGGGAGTGCAGTGGAGGATGGCCCAGGTGCTTGGGCCCTGCACCCCATGGGAGACCAGGAAAAAGCACCTGGCTCCTGGCTCCTGCCATCGGATCAGCGCGGTGCGCCGGCCGCGGCGGCCATTGAAGGGTGAACCAACGGCAAAGGAAGACCTTTCTCTCTGTCTCTCTCACTGTCCACTCTGCCTGTCAAAAAAAAAAAAAAAAAAGTGTTCAAATGCATGCCACTTAGAAAGTTCCCACTGAGAGGCGAGGGTCGGCGAGACCTCTGCTCAAGGCCAGTAAGACTTTTCTGGAAGCTTGACTCGAATGCCAAGAATGCCTGGCTGAAATAATGGAGAAAGAGCATCCGCTGATCTTTCTTATCCTGGTAGACTAAAGCTTAGTTCATGGAATAAGGACGGGCGAAGCATCTGCAAGCTTCGTGTGCACTATAGCATGTGTCGAAAGGCGTTTCCTTCCTGTTT